GTTTGAGGCCAGCCTGGTTTACAGAGTGAGTTATTAGCAGCCAGGGCTACACAGAGAAACACTGTCCTAATTGCAAACTCCAATACCCTGCTTGTGTGTGTCTGTGTGTGAAGGCCTTTAAGGGGCTAGCTAGCGAGACGGCTCAGCAGTTAGGAGCACCTGAAGAGGAGCTGGGTTCAGATTCAGGCAACCACAGTATCTTAGTGCTGTTTGTAACTCTAACTCCAGGGGACCTGACACTCACTTCTGAAATCCTTGACTCCCAAGCATACAGGCAAAACGCTTTTAGGCACAAAATAAATCTTTAAAAGGAAAAAAAAAATGATAAAAACTGGGGGGGTGGGGGGTGGACAACTGTAATCAAGAGGCTGAGGCAGGAGAGTATGTCTAAGCTGCTCTGGGATTTTCAATGTAGCCCTGCCCCTTCCTCTCCCACATTCCAGTTTCCAGGAATGGCGGGCTCTTTTCTAGACTAGGAGCAGAATGTTTAACAAATAAATATCTGGTTGGGTCAGACTGATGGCACAGCCTGTGACCCTAGCCTGGGAAGCAGGATGCTGAATTTAAGGCCAGGGAGTTAGAGACCAGCCTGAGCAAATTAAGACTTTCTCAACCTCCCTCCTAAAAGTAACTGAGCAAAAGTGGGTAGAAACTGTCTCCCTTGAGGAGGGACGGTAACTTAAAGATATAGTCGTTTGTAACCCCTGTCTTCATAGGCCTACCGGTGGTTGAGGACTGCAGCCTCCATGGCTTACGGTGTCATGGAACAAAGCTGGAGCCCTGCAGTTTGCTCTCTAGGGCTCAATTCCAGAACTTACACGCACACATGCAGGCAAAACACTCTGAGATATAAAGTAAGTAAATTTAAAAACATTATTTTTAACCTGTCATGGAAAGACTTGGGAGTAGACAAAGTAGAAGTTCTGAAGGCTTTGGGAGATGCTGTGCAAAGAATGCTGTTGCAGGGACAAGTCCCAGCCTGTGCCAGGGAGAGTACAGCTCTCAGCAGGACAGTGAAAGAGTAGGTTCAGGCTTCAGCTGCAACCAGAACTGCCCAAAGACAAAAAACAAAGCAACAAACAAACAGAAAACCAACTCTTCAGAGGAATGTCATAGAACTGAGTATTTAATCATGTCACATCCACAATATCCAGTGTATAGTATAAAACACACACATACAAAACAAACGAACCAAACAACCCCCCCCCCCGCTGGACCCCAAAATTCACCTCCTACTGAAGTAAAAGGCTTAGTCTATTAAGACACATTATAATTGGCAGACAGTTGTTTTAAGGTTGCTGATCACAAATGGTATATGAGCTGGGGAGACGGCTCAGTGGATGAAGCATTTGTCACATACGGGGTTCCGAACCCCAGCACCCACCGTGAAAGCCAGCTGGGCATAGCAGCCCCGCTGTAATCCCAGCGCTCAGGAGGCAGAGCAGGTGATCTTCAGAACAGTGCTGAGGGAGCTCCAGGGTCAAGAAGAGTGCCTGCCTCAGTGAACACTTAACTGTTAACGTCAACCTCTGGCCTACACACACCACAAAGGAGAGAGAAAAAAAAGACAGAAACAGCGTACACGGAAATAATACATAATTAATAAGCCAGTAAGAGATCACAACGGAATAGAAATGGCTTTTCGAAAACAAGAATAAGGCTGGGTGTGGTGGTGCGCTCTAACACCAGCACCCAGGAAACAGGTAGGACAACCACTTCAAGAATCAAAGAATCATACGGGAGGCTGGGATGTAGCTCGGTGGTGAAGTACTAGCAGAACATGGGTGAGGCCTTGGGAGTCCCAAATTCCAAATGAGAATCTATATGTAAAAAAAAAAAAAAAAAAAATACAACTCAAAATGTCCTGGGGTCGGCCCAGCAGCAGATTAAAGACAGAGAGTAAGCTGAAAATTACTTAGATGAATTACTGAGTTTGAAACATAGTAGATATATAAGCCTTATGAACATGTAAGTCAATCCTGGGTGATATAACAGAAGTTTATTAGCATTTTAGGGGAGAAGAAAACAGAAAATTTATTTTAAAAATCAGTGGCCAAAACTCCCCTGATCTTGTGTAAAACTAATAAAAAGGGAAGCAAACTTCAACAACCAAGATGGTCAACGTACTCCAAGACAATAGAGCAAACAGGACCTACAGTGTGAGCTCACCCACCAGAGGACCCAAGAGAAAGGGGTCCAAGTGAGGTGTTTAGGGATGGAAGCTCTGGGAGAGATTAAGGAATTCTGCCTCAGGAATTCACACCAGGATCTCAGTGTGAGGGCTGGGAATGGTCAAACCTGGCCGGAAAACCCATCGCTGGTTAGTCACAGTAAAGGTGAAAGGATGATGGTATAATGATGGTTTTGAGGACTATTTTAGGCTTCAGTCATTTTGGTTTATTTTTCCGGGCAAGGTTTCTCTGTGACAGGAAAGTCTAAATCCAAAAAGGAAGAAAGCTCAAGGTACCTTAAGGGGTAGGTGTGTGTCATCTCTGCTTGATCTAAGAGACCTGGGAAATGCTGAATGTGTTGTTATGGTGCTCCCAAGGGAGAATTCCAGAGGATCTTACCAAGCACTATTGAGTTTAGACTCGGTAGACTGTGGGGAGTGAATGAAGTCCCTGGTGGCTGTGTGTGGTTGACATGGACTTGTCAGGGGCCCCAGGGCAAAGCCTCTGTCTGGCCTGATTGGGGGCAGTGTTTGCGTGAATGAAAAAAAAACAAAACAACAACAACAACAAAAAACAACGAAACGAGAACTCCACCCAGTCACACTAAGGCTTGACTGCTGAAATTCCAAAAGAACACAGCATTGCTTGTAAGGACAAAAGAAATGACTGCAGGTGTCATCGCCAACAGAATAGGGACAGAGGCTATGTCTTATACATGCCAAAGGAAAACAGGTAGCAACCTAAGATTCTCCGTAAGTGAAAGCACCCTTCCAAGACAAAAGTAAAATGAAGTAAAGTTCAATAGAAAAAAAAATAAAATATTCTCTCTACAGGTGAGCCCAGAGACGTGAGCTTAGGTTAGTCAAACTTGGTTTCCATCGAACCTGTTTCACACGGCAGGCCTTTAGGAGATTCTTCAGGCTTCCGGGGAATGACACCGGAAGTCTCTTGAATCTACAGGAAAGAATGCAAGGCACTGGATAGACTTCAATAGACTGAAGGTGCATGCTGTGCTCCCGGCAGCCACTCAGTTAACAGTAAAGCTGAATGCCTTTGGTTGCAGAACTCGGGAGGCAGACGAAGTTCAAAGTCAGCACGAGCACGATTTGCTTAGTGAGCCCAAGAAACACTACAACTAAACTAACTAGTATAGTTCATAACTGAAAAAAAAAAAAAAAAAAAAGCAAGAAAATACCAATTAAATTGAAATATGACAAAATGGAGGGAAAAAAAAAACCACAACAAAAACAAAGGCAGGGAAAAAAAAACAAACATACATACATCAACAGATAACTGAGCTCAGTGGTGGCAATGTATTGGGTGTAAAGTACTAAACATACTGATTCAAAGGCAGAGACTTAAACGAAAGACCCCATGATATATGCTCTGTAAGGTGGTATTTAAACACAGAAGTTTAAAAGTAAACAAATGAGAAGCAAAAGGATCATTTCCATTCAGCTTTGACAGAAAAGTTTGAGTCAGTGTCTTCAGGAGGCCAGGCCGGCCAAGTTCACGGCGTAGCAGAGCACAACTCTGAATACAGGCTGGGATTACAGGTATGTGCCATTTTGCCCAGTTTGTGTAACAGACGACAGAACCCAGTCAACCACAGGCTAGGCAAGCACCCTGCCAACTAAATTACTCCTTATCCCCATGAATAACTCTGTTTTAAACAGGAGTCTCAAAATGTAGCCCAGTATGGCTTTAACCTTCTGATTTTCCTGCCTCTTCAGTGCTGGGATTACAGTGTGCCACCACGCCAGGCCGATATAAAAGCATTTCAATTCCATGTTTCAAAATATTGGCTTTTATTTACCATATATCAGCCTCTAGCCTTCGGTCACCTCCCTCCCCAGCTCGTTTTTTTTTTTTTTTGGGGGGGGTGGAAGGGTTCTTTTCCCTTTCTTTTAATGTGAGCAGCACCTTAACATGGACAGGCAGTCAGGATTTATATAGCAAATCTTGTGACCTTTGATCCAGCTTTGAAGTAGGCATAATTCTTTACCTGCCCTCATTCGTCATGTCGTCAAGTGACCCTGGCAGAATGCAGCTGGAAGACCTTCGCTTTGTTGCACTTCTAGGTTCTTCACTGTGGGTTTTTCTGTTTCATTTACGGAGTAACTCGTTGAGTGTATCTTTTCCTGTCTACAGCTGTGACTTTCCACACTTAGGCAAACCTGACTATGCAAGAATTTCCTACTCTCTGAAATGGCACGTGGGCTACGGTGCATCCTCCACTCACAGCCGTGGGGGCTTTGACAAAGGGACCTCACCCTAAGCATCACTTTGTAAGAATGATTCTGTGGATGTGACAGGGGGAAGGACCGCAACCAACTCCCCTCTGGCCAAGCAGGCTTTGTAAGGAGATTTCTATCCTAACAGACTCTCTTGTACATGGTTTTCAAACCTCCGACCTTGGGAAGTTCAATAAACTCAAAATCCTATCAAAGGCAGGGCCTTCTTGGTCATGTCACCCTTCAGGAAAAGGCTCTTAAAATGTGTCAAAGGTCACTTCTCGGCAAACGAGTGCTACGCTCAAATGCAGAAGCCTTCCCTAACGGTACCACCAGTTAGACAGGTGAAAAGGGCTTGTACTGTCTACTTGTCATAGGTAAGCTATGACCAGTTGCTTGAAGCCTTTCCTTTAGCACCCAGCCTGTCTGAAATATTTGGCAGCTTACTATTGATGGAGGGATGAAGTGAACACTGACACCACAAGGCAGCTTGCCGGTCATCTCTAAGCAAAGAATGAAAGGCAGGCTCCCCCTCCAGTCAAGAGTAAACATCACACATCCTGTTTATTCATCCTGGCTTGTTGTCCACAGCTTTTCAAAGCACACACACCCCCAAGTCACTCTGCCCTGCCCCTGTTTCCTACTCATAGCAGAGCTATAATTCCTACTGGGTTCTAAGGGCTTCCTACAAGAAAACGCTCTTCATTGCAATAACTTTTAAAGAAAATACTTTATTACATCATGAAAAAGGTATTCAACAACTAGATTCATACTTGCTTGAATCTTAAAAAAAAAAAAAAAAAAAAAAACTGAAAGTTTATTCGTTAGACTGTATGTGGGCATCCTGATCCACGTGGGAACAGAAAGATGCTAGCTAGGGCCTTCTACGTATTGCACAGTCTTAAAAAAAAAATAAAATAAAATAAAATAAAAGTAAAAAAAAAAACATCACAAAAAGGAGTGGGGAGAAGATCACATGATATTGGGAACCATCTCACATTGTAAAAAAAAAAAAATTCTACCAAGAAACATTTTAAAAAGAAAACCCTTTGTTTCTACAGTAGCTTTAGTCTGTAGTTCCTGGAATGACTGTATTCCATTGAAGACATCTTAGTAACAGGAAGCTTCGTTCGAGCAATCCCATGTGCAAATATTAATAGAAAAATATATAAAATAATGCATCTCTTGCTATCACCCCCGGCAATCAGGACCATACTTTGGAGAACTGTTTCATCTGGAAAACGATTAAGCTGTGAGTTTGGCCTGGAGCTCCATCTCGGCCGCCCGTTTGAGAGCGACATCCACTAGAAGCTGGAATCCGCTAAAATCCTGGTTGAGGTCAGGTGGAGTTGGGGGAGGAGTGTTGAAAAGACCGTTCTGAGGGTTTGGACTCGGTCCAGATTTGCAAGCGTCCTCTGGGTACATGAGAGAGGTGTCTGTAAAGTTGCTGGCCGCTATTTGCTGTACATCTGTGCTCTGTCCCACACCGACCGGCTGGCAGAGAGAAAAAGGCCCATCTTTCAACGAAGTCACAGTGGTATGGCAGATCACTGATGGGCGAGCCAAAATGGATCCTGGGGAGGAAGGTTTGGGAGATGCTGGCCTCCCTAGGGTTGGGCTGGGTCCAGCTGAGCAATGAAACGGGCTCTCTTCTAGAGCTGGCATGAAGTTTTTGATACTACCCATTGCAGCTTCCATAGAGCTAGCTTCTGAAATCTTGGCCCCACGGCGGGAAATCGTGAACTGATTTGGATCTTTGCCATCCTTTCTCAGCATGTCAGGGAGGAGCCTGCGGCGGGCGTTGATGAACCAGTTACAGACCTGAAATCACACAGGGTCTGCTTCAACACTTTCTCAGTTCACTTGACAAACAGGTTCTGAAAACGGGTGCCTAACTTCAAGGAGGCATAAAAGAGCTTATGTGGGACTAAAGGAGGGAGGTCAGTGACAGAGCATTTGCCTACCACGTGAGGGGACCAGCAATGACTTAAAAACAACAACAAAAAGCAGCTTCCCTGGACTTACAAGCTATTGTATTAGGAGGCCTCAGAAGCCAGTCATAAGCACAAATTTGCTTTGGAGGTGGCATCATCCATAAACCTTTCAGGAGCAAGGAAAAGGTACAGAATCTCAAATACCTGAGAATAACTTTAAGGAAGGTTCACCTTTAAGTCTGGTTCAACCTACCACCTACTGCCCTAGCATTCAAGTTAATCAACTACAGGAAAAGCCTTTCCTGTATAAAAGAGGCCACACCCCCAGTAACTGATCTCTCTCAGTTCAAATGACTGTGTCAACAGACACAACATGAATTACCTCACTGAGGTCTGTCCTTGTTTAAATATCAAACCAGTTTCCTGGGCAATAGAGTAAGGTTTAACCTGCTTTTCAATCAGCAGGGCATAGGTTCTTTTGGGCATTGAAGGAAATGCTTCCTGACAGATGAGTGTCAAGTGTTTCTGTCCTCTATAAATAGCCAATTATTAGCTTTTCACACTATAAAGTTCACAATGAGAGATGCTGTTTCTCTCTCTCTCCTAGGTGACTAAGGGAAGAGCATGACACACAGGAATGCTGTAAGATGTCTAACGATGAAGGGAAAAGTATACACCTAGGTTCGGGGGCAGAGCTTGAACCCTGGGTTGAGGTGGAGTTCTGGCACTCACCTCTGTCTCTTTCCTTACCTGCAGTGTGGACAGGTGTGTCTGCTGTGAGAGCAGCGCTTTCTCGTGCTCCGAGGGGTACGCGTTGTATCTGTGCTCATACAGCCAGTCCCGCAGGATCTGGACCGACTCCTTGGGCAGGTTGCCTCTCCTCCTTCTCTTGCCTGAGGCTGCTGAAGAGGAAAGGTCCAGGGGAATGTCCATGCTGTCTTCATCCTCAGTTTCACTGCCGGACGCTGCAACAACGCCTGAGAAAGGACAAAGGCCCACGGTCAGGTCACTCACCTTGTCAGCATCTGAAAACGCATTCATTTGCTTAGACTATTCCGTGTCCTTGTGTTTTCTCAACTTCTGAATGTCAAGTTTTCAGTCTTGCTGTTGCAGGTTGGAATATAACCTCCCTGCCTCCCTCCCTCTCTCTCTCTCTCCTTACAGGGAGTGAGCTATTCCACCTGAGTCAGGAAGGATGCCGGGCAGTGTGGAAACACATCTCACAAGCTTGTCTTTGAGGCCTTTCTCCTTTCATGCAAGGCTTTCCATAAAAGCAAGCACTGTGCATTTTTATATACTTCAAGGTTTTCTTGGGTAGTCAATTAGATATGACCTGAGAACACTACCCATCAGCCTTTAATTCTTACATGACAAAGAAAATTGAATATGCAGCCCACAAAGGAAGCTATTTTGGTGGTAAATACTTTAATCCTACCAGAAATGTTAAGAATTCACAAACCCTACAGAGTATTTAAATCAGAGTTCTGTGAAAATTCAGGCCAGCTTGACTTTTACAGACATCATTTTGAACTTTAGAACGGTTTAACAAATGCTATTAACTCCTTTCAAATCTAAAAGTTGAACAATATAAACTTTATAATCTGCGACTCAAGTGTTTCTATTCATTTCAGAAGTGTATCTTTTTAATTTTTTTAGCTTTGTATAGCTTTTTATTCAATCCTAATTGAGTGCCTTTACTGATCTAGGAAATGAAAACAATAATCTTCACATTGATACATCAACTCTATAAATTTTAAAGGATTTTTTTTTTTTTTTTTTTTTTTTTTTTTACAACCAGGACTTTGTTGACACATTTTTAGCTTTGGACTGCAGGGGGCAGAAGGTGCTAGAAGGCCTTCCTACAGGAAAAGCCCAAATCCAGCAAAGACAAAGTAAAAGCAGGTTCTAACAAAAGAGGCACATGATCTTGCAAATTCACTGTAGCTTAAGGCTTAACTACCATAAATAAACCACAAGAACCCTCCATTTTTAACTGCTATGCAACTGAACAATTCCTTCCTGAAGATGCACTTAATCTGTTTCAAGAAGAAGAAAAAGTTTAAAGAAAGGGCACTTTTAAAACTGAAAGTCCTTTCATTGTACAGAATCTGAGAAACTTTAAAAGCCCCATATTGAAATTTGGGGGGAAAACTATTAATTACCAAAAAACCTGATTATAAATGAGTTCCTGTTTCACATTTGCTTTAGTAACCAAAGAAATCTCGCTTTTAAACACGTCAGATTAGTGGGGTAACTAAGCGCATTTGAATAAAGCAATTTGCTTCAACTCCCAACTTCAGAAAAACCAGCCATTCTTCAATGCTATTTATCCCCTTCCCCCTTTTCTTAAATGTAGGAGGGGCAAAGTGTGAAAATTTGCTCCTTGAACAGTTAATTCCCAACTGTAAAGTGGTAATAACAAAGTGATTGAAACAAAAAACCCCTAACGCCTGCCCTTTGATCTGCTCGCTGGAGTTTGACAAGAAGCTGATCTTTCAGAATAGGTTAGGGACACAAAGCAGGTTTCAGTTAAGCAACACCAAACTGCCAGCTCTGTTCATTTGAGGAAGAGAGAGACAGAGACAGAGAGAAGAAAAAACAAAGCCAGCCAGCCAGGCCCTGGACCTCTTCACAAGTGTTTCCAAAGCGTGCACAAAGGCTGAAGGGAACAGGAAGTTGGGACTCAGGGCCTTGGGTGCGCCAGCTGATAGGTTCAGCTCTGCTAGCCCACGTTTGCTACTGTCAGGGCTATTTTCATTAAAACTCCCTACCGATGAGGCTCGACTTGGAAAAACAAAGACTTTTTTCCTTGTTACTCATTTCCTACTGTAACAGAGCTTTTGAAAAGTTTCCCAGTTAGGACTTGTTTCCAATCGTCTCGCTTTGCTTACACTCTGAAAAAAAAAAAAAAAATGCGGTTGGGGAGGGAGAGAGGTGGGTGTGGGACAGAATCACAAACCTCTTACTCTATCCACACACAAGAAAATGCTGTTTAGAAAGCCACAAGATGGCCTGTGGATCCCATGGCTCTAAGAAGCAAATCTTGCTTCTTCACTTTCTTTTTCTGAAGCTATGAAACACCGAGGTTGGGGGTGGGGAGAGCTTGGATTTTAAACATATATTGGAGACTAGAAAAAGAAATGTGGGGGAAAGATCAAAGAAAAACCAAACCTAAAAAGTCTATTCCCTCCGACAAAACAACTCTGGAAGCTAGACACCCTGGTTACCAAATCTACAGGTCACTGAAGGGACCCAGCCAGGCAGCTCAGCCCTGAACAGATTCAATAGGCTTGGAGACCCCACGAGGACACTCGGAGTGTTCCTCGTAGATCCTTCTCCTAGCCTGTTCTGAGGACATTTTTGGAGCCCTTTCCGGCAGTCGCGGCTTTCTACGAGAACACTTTAATTAGCACATACCAGTCTCCGTTTTAAAGAAAACTGAAAGGATGTGCACTCTCCTAAGCCAGACAATAGGCAGGACAGGTTTAAGCACTCCTGGCCCAAGACAGGGAAGCTCGCCCTCCCCTCCCAGGTAGTCTCAGGCGGGGTGGGGGAAGCAGAGAGGGGGGAGTCTGCGCTGTGGAGGCTCGCTGGAGAGGGAGGAGCCGGAGGAGAGCAAGCAGCTTTTGTTCTTCAGAGTTCTTTAGCCCCAACTGAAGCCCGCCTGCTAACTGTACAAGTTAGCAACCGAGCTGGCCCGTGGTCCCTAAGGAACTAGAAATGGGGCGGCGCAGCCACATCCTCCACAGTCTGGCCCCTGCCCGGACCATGTGCTGGGGAAGCCTAAAAAGGGAAAGGAACCCGGACAGTCTCGGCACTCTCGGCTCTCCCCACGAGAGGCTCAGAAGTGGTCGCTGTAAAATTTCCTCTCCAACACGTCACCATTCATTGTTTCCGTGAGTTGGGGGTTGACTTGCAGGACCCACGCGCTGTGGGCTGAGGACCGCTGATGTTTTCCCCAGACCTCGCATCTGAGGAAGGGGACACCCAGGAGGTGCTACCTGAGTGGGAGGCTAGTATCAGCCCCCCTCCCCGCCACGGAAACCCAGCTTTGCATTCCGTACCCTGGAACCACACAAAACCAAACTACCCTCATTTAGGTGCTATTGGAGCAGAACGCCTCGCAGGGGTCCAAGACCTGTCAGTCTCGGCTAGGGGTGACACGGCTCTCGGAAAGACTCCCCAAGCCTTCCACTGGGCCCAGTTAAACTGTCCCCAACTCTAAGCGTCCCCATTCTCCCTGTCCCAGGGAGGAGATGGGGCAAGGAGGCCTGCTCAACCCAGTACCCGAGGTCTTCATGAGTTCTGTGTGTCTCAGGGTCTCCCACGGAACTACATCCACACAACCCTGTAAGGTAGGGAGCGGGGAGAAACCCCGCGGGGTGTGTGTTCGGCGGCCGCCGTAACCGTGTTCCGTTGGAACTGCAGTCGCGGTCTGGGTCTGAAAGAATGTGGAGTAACAAACTCGAGGAAGCTCCTGGGCATGCGCAGCAGCGCCCCCCTCTCGCCAGCTTCCCCAAGCGATTAACTTCTGTTTTGAACCACTCCACATAAATCACAACAGAAAAGCCAACTCCAGCCCACGGACTGAACACTCGAGGGACCTCCCAGCCAGGGACTCCAAAGTTAGCTTCAAAAGGGACTTCACAGTCTTTGACCTTTCGGGTTTCTTTTTTTTTTTTTTTCTTCCTCCCCTGTGTATTTTGTTTTTAAACCAGACTGACGGCAAGTTTTTGTTGTAAAGCTTGGTGGAAACAATGACAGCCTCGCTCTTTGCACTTACAACCAAGCCTGCTTGTCACACTTGGGCACATCTTGACTGCATGGTGCCACCAGCCCATACTGTCCTCAGCTCATCGTGGGAAAACTTTCAGAAGCTGGTCGTTTAAAAAGTCCAGCTTTCCAAAGCTGTGCTCGCCCTCATAACGTATGATCACATTCCTTTGATAGTGAAAACCACCTCATCCCTTACAAAACGGTGCCAGGATCGGGTGGGAGAGAGGGCACCCGGAACCACAAACTTTTAAGACAAAAGGTAAGGCGGCTGGAATGCGCCACGGACCCCCCACAGGGAAAAACGAGAGTGGGGGGCCCTCGGGCACCCGCCCCACGCCCCTGCCCCAGAAACGCCACTGGGAACCACGCGGCGGCTGGGCCGAGCGTGGGGTGTCAGTGAAGACAATGAAACTTAGAGGCGCACAAACAAGGCGCTGAGCGCGTTTCCTGACACCGTGCCAGCAGCGTGGCGAGGCGAAGTCTCCCACAACAGCCCCTCGCGTTCTAGACACATCTAGAAGGAGAAGAACACCCACTGCCCTTCGGGACACAGCCTCAACAAAGAGCGCGGCCGCTGCTCCAGCCGGGGTCCCGGCGCCGCCAAGTCCGCCAAGTCCGCGTCCGCGGAGCCGCCGCGGCCCGCACACGCCCCGCACCGCTGCCCGGCTGCTCGCCGCCCGCCGCAACCTTACCCTTCCTGCTTTTCATTCTGGAGCTCGCCTCCCAGCGAGAGGTGCCGCCGGGTGTCGGGGCCAGCAGCCGGAGGGGCTGGGGCGGGCGACGGTCCTCCTTCACTGGCGCTCCGGCAACTTACGGGAGACTACTCCAGCCACTAGAGTTAAACAAGGTGCTCGGTCCCGGGCGCTGCCTCCTGGGTTGGAATTCAAGTGACACTTGGGCTTCCTCCAGCCGGGATCTTCTGGCAGCCAGCCGGGGGCTCTCCCTGGCCCAACTCTCTCCCCTCCCTCCTCAGCTCCTTTGTTTCCCGCTCCACTCCGCGCACCTCGGCGCTGTCAGAGTGAGAGAGCAGAGGGAAGGTACAGGAGGTCCTGCCTCCGCCCCCAGCCGCCCGCCCCATCCCCCGCCCGCCCCGCCGCTCCTCCGCCCCTCCCCCGCACCTTCCAGCTCCACAGCCCGGGACGGGGGCGACATCCCCGGCCCCTCGCCGGGGTGGCGGAGCCCTGGGACCCCGCCACGCCTGCCCGGCCGCGGGGCGAGTCCGGTCGGCATGCCCAGCCCTCCGCGGCCACGCCGGCTTCTCCTTCGGGGCCTTTCCTCCTGGGGCCGGCGGAGGGTGAGTGTAGTTTGCAACAGATGGGGACAGGGCTAACTAAGCACGTCTCCTCCGGCCCCTCATGCGCCCTAGGGAAGACACCTCGACCCTTGTTTTTGACAGCTGCCCAAAGCCCCGCCGTCCCTGCTGCAGCCTCCAGAGGCAGCGGCTTCTGAGTCAAGGGGTGGGGCACCAGAGGAAAAGTATTCCGGACAAGAACCAACTTCTTCCAGAAGGCGCAGCTGCCATTGACACGCGGGCGGGCGCGGCGCACCCTCCTCCTCGTGGACTCTTCTTCCAACGAGGACGGGGCGGGGGTGGGGGGTGGGGACTAGACGTGGGCACTCTGGGCGAACGTCTGTTCCCCCGGGCTAAAGCTCCGAGTTCCGGATTGGATTGCAAGTTTCGAAATCCAACACGTTTCCGATAGACACTTGTCATGCTCACATGCTCTTTAAACGTCTCGGCCTGGGGGAGACGGCGCGTGTGCGCCCTGCTGTGACATCCCCCCCGCCCCCATGCGCACCCCCGGGCTTTTCTAACCAGATGGGTGACCACGCCGGGGCGGCCCGTCCGTTACGGTAAACAGTGTCCCACCAGGGGACGCCCCCCTAAGCCCTTAAGAATTTCAAACAGAAACTAGCCATTAAGTAAACACTCGTTCCTATTGGTTTATTTTGCTTAAGAGGGGCGCTCCGGGAGGAGTTCCACGAAGAAGCCTCCTACTCCCCCAACCCCCAAATACAAGCCAGATGCTGTTTTGGTCGACTTCAAGACGCGCATGCCCGTACTTTCTGGGTCTAGTTTTCACCTATGCCCGGTTGTAAAATGCAAACCAACTGTCACATGTCACGGAAGACTTTCCCCAATAACTTAAAAAAAAAAAAGAACCCGAAACGGGGGGGGGACAAACGTAAATAAGTGGCGACGTCAGCGCCGGTGTCTGCCTCCAGTTTCGACTCTGTGGATGTTTTCTGGTTTTGTGACCTCGGTGGAGATCCGGCAGGAGGAGACAGACCGGCGAAAACAAGGTTAAAGCCGAGTCACACTTAAGGCGGCCACTGGGTGACCCGCTAGACTTTGGAGCCTGTTTACGGTTACGCTGGAAACGAAAGCAAGCCTCCGCTGCCGCGCCCCCTTCCCCAAAGACAGCCCCTCCGGGAGCGCGTAAAATAATAATTAAAAAAAAAAAAAACCCGGAATTAAAGAAGCGTGGTGTGGGTTTTCCAAAAACAATCAACTGAAGGAGAAGCGTCACTGCAAGGAGGGAGGAGCCTCGAAATGACAACACCCCCCTCCCCAAATCCTGCGCTCTCGCCGAGGGCTCGGCCGGGGAGCACACGCGGAAGCCAGCGCGGGAGGCGGTCGTGGCGCGGGGTTCTGGGTGCACCCGCCGGCTGGCGAGCCCCTCCGCCAACTGCCCGGGGCGCGGCGCCTCCCGGGACCCCTCGCTTGACGTGGGGGGACTCGGGAGAGGAGGAGCCGGGCGGCGTGAGTGGCGAGAGCCTGCGGGTCCGGACGCGGCGGTGGCCGCCTGGACGCTTTGTTTGCTAACTTGGGGTGGGGGGGACAGTGGCTTCGGGGGGTCCCCCGCTCCACGGAACCCGGCCTCGGGTCCGCTTAAACCCAACCCAGCGCAGCGCGAGGCCGAAACGTTCCTTCCCGGCGGTTACCCGCGGCCATGCGGCGCCTCTCGCTAGGTACACAAAAGGTAGCTTTTGCTTTTTTTTTTTTTTTTTTTCTTTTCCTTTTCCTCCAAGTCGGCCTGGCTGATGAATGCGAATTCTCAGGCCACGGAGATGGAAAGCGGTTTTACGGTTTGAAGAAAACAAACTTTACAAGGGCAGACAGGCAGGCAGGGGGGTGGGGTGGGGTGGGGGCAGGAGTGGGGGTGGGGATGGAGAGCAAGACGCCTCTCTCGGACTAAGAGGGGGGGAGGGAGGAGAAAAGAGGGGGGGGAAAGAAAAAAGAAAACTCACCGTGACGCGAAGGCCAGCCGGACCCCGCCAAGGCGCACCTCGGGCTCGTGTAAATCATCCCGAGGCCGTTAGGAGGGCGGGAGCGCGCGGGCCGGGTAGGGCGATCGGCTGGGGGCCGTCCCCTCCTCCACCCCGCTGCCCCGCTAAAGGCCGAGCTCGGCGTCCCGGGGTGGGGGGACTGTCCACCCCAGAGGAGGGAAGCGACCTCCCCACCCCCCCAGCGCGAGCCCCCAAGACCCGCAATAGTTTTCATCCGCCGTCTGCACGGCGGGGGGATAACAACAACCAAACGAGCTTCACCTCCGCCTGCGCAGGCTCGATCAACGTCTGGGGGGGGGGAGGGGGGCTCTGAGTACCTGGTCCCACCGACTCTGGGTTGGTTGCCGTCGCCACGTGCTATTCGCTGGACGCTTGCGCCTCTTAAAAGTGTGTAAGTGTGTAAGCCCGGGGTTGCCCTGCGCCCTTACCCTGGCTGGTATCTTTTTATTTTCCCCAGCGTCTGCGCGCTCTTGCTTTGCGATACACACAGTCCCGTTAGGTGGGAGCTGAGCAGAGCCTCCGCGGCCTGCAGGCGCCCCCACCCCCCAGCCCCAGCCCCAGCCCCCACCCCGAGCGCGCAGACGCTGGGATGGGTGCGCGCCTGGGAAGGCTGAGCCGACGGGCCGGTAGCCGTGAGTGTCGTTACTCTGATTGGCGCCAGGTCTGTCAAACGCTCGCTCGAGGGAGGTGTTTGTTCCACCTGGACAGTTGCTTAGGTATGATTCCCATCAGGGGCCGCGCCGCGTCGGGGCCGGGGGGAGGCTGACTCACGCAGTCATCGGATCTCTCTTGCTGGCAGCCCAGCGAGGGCATATTTATAAAATACGCAGGCTGCTGCGCTTCCGGCGCGGCGCGAGGGACCTGTGAGTCGTCCTGTCGCATCAGGTCTGGGGGCACCGGTTGGAAGCTAACGGTTGTCTTGGCGAGGGCGAGGGCGGGCTGGCCCCAGCCCTCTCGTGGTGAGTTCATCAGGCTATCTTCTTGAAGTGTGAGTTAAGGTAGCTGTCCCTATGCTCACCTCCAACTCAGCACCGTCTCTCCCCCTCCCCCCTCGGTGCAAGTCACTTTTCTTTTACCTAGGTGATTCGGACTGAAAGTCGTTGAGGAAGCCACACCAGTACAGTGATTCTGTAGCCCGGTTGCCTGGTTGGGGAGAGTTGGAATGATACAGATCCAGACCCAAGTATCTCAAGTCCTCTTCCTGGTCACTTATCTGTTCCTTTGTACCTGGCCCACCCTGTTTCTGGCTGTCACTTAAAAATCTTCGGAAGGCGCTAACTCAGCCTACCAGTAGCTTCCGCCCGCTCAGGGCTACGGAGGCCGCCAGCATGGGAGGCTTCTCTGTAACTTGCCCCCGCCCAGCTCCACCGGTGTCTTTGGGGCATTCGTTTACAGCCCGGTTTGTAGCTAACAGTTCATGTGATAACTTACATGGTGGAATGTGTTAGGGTCTACCCAAATCCGGGTGCCCTGGGCCTCTATCACCCTCAGATTTGGCTGTGTTTGCGACTGAGAGCCCTGGTTTTCCTGTGGCCTTCAGAATCTAGGGGACCGGGGGAGCTAACTCACTGACCCCTGCCTCCTTCATCCCCTTGATTTTCAGTGCTCTGTAGTTTCATTGTGCTTCATAGTTTCTGAAACATTTAAATACTCTCATTTAATAACCAAATTAGTCATCTATGTTATATTTTTCTTAAAGTCAAGATAACATGAACAACACATCCAAACAAGGCAGAGCTAAAAGGCTTAAATCAAGGTTTTGGGCATACGTTACCTGGCTGTCAAGGGAATCTGTCACACAGGTTATGAAGCAGAG